TTCCAATGAAACCTGAAATTCTCTATTTGTGCGATCTTGGAGATGATGCTATCCATGAAAAAGATAACTATTTGGTAAAAGTGATGTTGATAGCAGCAAAAAAATGGGGGAAGTCAAACGTGCCATCAAAGGACCAATGGATCACAACGATTGAAGACATATTTCTCATGAAAAAAGAACCACAGATGAAAAAAATGGGAAAAATGGACATTATATAAACAGAAAAACTCAAAAGAAAGTGCTACCAAAACATGTTCATGTTAGTGTGCTTTGTTTTTGTTTGTATGATAAAAAATAATAATATATAAGTGACAAAAAAAAATAAGATTATCGGGGCATTTTAAATGCTGTATTTTCATCAGATATAAATGGTTCCGCGTGTTTGCGCCGAACTGCTTCAGGTTGATCGTAAAGCTGTATGTTCGGAAAATAAGGTTGAGGTGGAGAAAAAGCTAGAGAATTATAAAAAGGAAATTTCAACAAAAGTGGCTAGAAAACAAGGAATTCGGGACAGGGCTGCAGCCTGTCGACTGTAAAGATGATGAAAGGATTTTGCTGTGTTTTTTATATATATATATATATATATATATATATAAGTAATGGTTACTTGTCAATGGCATTAAAATCATTTCTTAGAGCATTAAAAGAGCATTAAAAAGCATTAAATTAGAGTTACTCGTTCCTGTATAAACCCTGATAAAGCATATTGTGCCAATAGGGCTGCATTAAACAGACCTGTTTAATGAAGTGAAACTGAAAAGTTCTTTTATTTCACTAATTCAATTCACTCAATAAAACACATTGTACAGACTGATGTTTTTAAGCCTTTTTTCCTGTTAATTATGGTGATTTTCTACATACAGCCAACAAAAACATGACAATCAGGCCCAGAATATTACTTCAGACAAATAAAGCATTCTGTTACACAGAAATGGGCTTAATGATTAGCATGTTAAATACCTAACAGAAGGCAGTTGTTATTAAAAGGCACTTTTTAATATGACAAGTGAACCTATTCCAAGTGCAGAAAAGAAAATTTCAGCATTCAGGTTATTTCTTTGTTCGATCTTTTAGTAAGTAGTCTTGAAGACAAAGTAATTGTGTTAGACAATTGTTTATATATTGTTTTGCTTTCTGTATGCCGGTTCGCACTGTTAGCCTAAACTTAACATAACCCTGAGCTTTCCAAAGACTCCCATCATTTCTACATACAGGTGCTGGTCATAAAATTAGAATATCATGAAAAAGTAGATTGATTTCAGTAATTCCATTTAAAAAGTGAAACTTGTATANACCAAGTGATTGTAATTTGATTGTATGAGTTTATATTTCCTCAGTCCATTCATTTTCACATTGCTATGAAATCATCAAAAATGTAAAAAAAAAAAGAAAAACCAAAACAATCAAAGCATTTTTTACTCTGTATTTGTTTTTTACTGGTAGTCACATTTGCAGTGGGGTGGGTTAAATTCAAGCTTAAAAATTTGATGCAGGATTTTTTGCAATATATTTACTTTACTTTGCTTCCCTGTCACACATTTGCAGACTCTATTCTTTTTCCCATTTACAAATATACAGATTGTAGTGCTGACTTAGCCCATCACCTGAACCCTGACTTGGAAACTGAATTTGCTGACTGGGAATCTAGGGCATACTTGGGATTGAAAGTTCCTAAAACTGGGGTACAGGTTCACTTTCCAGGGCTAAAATGACCCTAAGCAAACAGGTAAATCCACAGTTCAACCGTTTCGATTGAGGCAAATATCAGTGTCATAATGTACAGGACATAAAATACCTTGAACTCTATGGTTATAAAATGGAAAAGTCTGGAACGTTAAAGGAATATCAATACATTTGCAAGGCCCTTAAACATTTTTCTCAGATAAAATGAAAAGATCAGCTTGACAGCAGCTTGATCAAATATAAAAGAGAGACTTAAGTGTGTGTGAGCTCTCTTCCTAGTGCAGCTTCTTGTGTGTTTCATTTTCTTTTATACAGTATCTTATTTGTCAGTCAATATTATAGGACAGATAAATCTTGCATCTGACTGATTGAAGTCATAAAACATAAAGACTTCCAGCACCTACATTTGTCTTATTTGAGCTGTTGCTACATGTAAAAGACATTAATGTGGCAGTTTTAGAGCTGTGCTTGAGCTGCAGAAGAGAGGATCTGATGCTCAGTTGTGCCGCAGAGGGAAAACAAATTTGAGCACAAAGAAATATAATACATTTTTCATGAATGCAAACTGAATCTCTCCAGGATTCTGCACTGAATTACAAACATAAAATGACAGAAATAACAGAGATAAAACAGGACAGACAGTTTTACCAGAGAATAAGAATCAAGCAAATTCAACAAATGTGTTTTTTCCTTATCATTACTGCTCCTGTTGACATATGCCTTCTCTTTACCTTTTATCTATTTGATCCGAAATGGATGAAATGTTTTTGTCATTTTGGCAGTCTGTTAAATTAAGCTTAATTAAATTCAGTTTATTAATAACAGTTTACAACACTTTATCTACACAGTCAGTTTATAACTTCCTTTTAGTTGGAAGAAACCTCGGGGTTCAAAATACAGGCAGACGCAAAAAAGGGGACATAGAAGCACTGATCCATGAATACTTTCTATTTAGAGAACATAATGGTCATAGCTGGCTTTGTCTAGGCAAGAAACAGTTAAGCAGATGATCTCTGAGATGATTTTCATGTCAGGAAGGATAGAAGAGCACATTCAGTTCATGAGAGTAAAAGCGTAGCCCATAGTTACTTCTAGGAGAGAAACAGAACTAAACACTAAAAAAGGCAACTTTATCTTTAGTTATCTAAAGTTAAAAAAGGTCAAATAGTAACTTTGTATTCACTATGCCTCATAATAACATCTGCACGATGTAATGTTTCCCATTTAACTTTGCAACTTATAATGAGGTGTTGGTTCTATATTTATTTATGAAACATTAGATGGTTTGGAGATCAGTGTTTTGGAATAAATAGTCCAAACAGACCTGATCAAACTATCAGAAAGCACAGGGATTTATCAAACTGATTATCCTCAGATGATTATTTTCCTGCTTCCATAGATGTTTTTATCACCTCATATTATGCTGGTCAGCAAGTCCAATGTCTTATGTTGAAAATCACCTTCTTAAAATTCAATTTGAAATACATGTTTGATCAGATCCACGTTCTATTGTCATTTTTTTCAGAAACATATTCAAACCTTATGATTTGTAAAAACAGGGTTTCTGCGGGTCATTAAAAATCATTAAAAGTCATTAAATTATTATTTTTTTAAATGAAGGTGTAAATTGGCATCAAAATTCATTAAATGTGATTGTCAGGGAGGCATCAAGAATGTTGGAGAGAGTGCGGGGAGAAAGATGTCAACCATTCCCATGTTTTTGGAAGTGTTCGAAACTCTTGGAGTTTTGGGAAATGATTTGCAGTGTATTATGTGAAGTATTAGGGTAGGTAATTCCAATGAAACCTGAAATTCTCTATTTGTGCGATCTTGGAGATGATGCTATCCATGAAAAAGATAACTATTTGGTAAAAGTGATGTTGATAGCAGCAAAAAAATGGGGGAAGTCAAACGTGCCATCAAAGGACCAATGGATCACAACGATTGAAGACATATTTCTCATGAAAAAAGAACCACAGATGAAAAAAATGGGAAAAATGGACATTATATAAACAGAAAAACTCAAAAGAAAGTGCTACCAAAACATGTTCATGTTAGTGTGCTTTGTTTTTGTTTGTATGATAAAAAATAATAATATATAAGTGACAAAAAAAAATAAGATTATCGGGGCATTTTAAATGCTGTATTTTCATCAGATATAAATGGTTCCGCGTGTTTGCGCCGAACTGCTTCAGGTTGATCGTAAAGCTGTATGTTCGGAAAATAAGGTTGAGGTGGAGAAAAAGCTAGAGAATTATAAAAAGGAAATTTCAACAAAAGTGGCTAGAAAACAAGGAATTCGGGACAGGGCTGCAGCCTGTCGACTGTAAAGATGATGAAAGGATTTTGCTGTGTTTTTTATATATATATATATATATATATATATATAAGTAATGGTTACTTGTCAATGGCATTAAAATCATTTCTTAGAGCATTAAAAGAGCATTAAAAAGCATTAAATTAGAGTTACTCGTTCCTGTATAAACCCTGATAAAGCATATTGTGCCAATAGGGCTGCATTAAACAGACCTGTTTAATGAAGTGAAACTGAAAAGTTCTTTTATTTCACTAATTCAATTCACTCAATAAAACACATTGTACAGACTGATGTTTTTAAGCCTTTTTTCCTGTTAATTATGGTGATTTTCTACATACAGCCAACAAAAACATGACAATCAGGCCCAGAATATTACTTCAGACAAATAAAGCATTCTGTTACACAGAAATGGGCTTAATGATTAGCATGTTAAATACCTAACAGAAGGCAGTTGTTATTAAAAGGCACTTTTTAATATGACAAGTGAACCTATTCCAAGTGCAGAAAAGAAAATTTCAGCATTCAGGTTATTTCTTTGTTCGATCTTTTAGTAAGTAGTCTTGAAGACAAAGTCATTGTGTTAGACAATTGTTTATATATCGTTTTGCTTTCTGTATGCCGGTTCGCACTGTTAGCCTAAACTTAACATAACCCTGAGCTTTCCAAAGACTCCCATCATTTCTACATACATGACAGAGTTTGAAACCTTCAAGAATGAAACGAGTATTTCTACATCTTTTTAGCCTTCCTGTCATCCTCAGAAGGTCTTGCTCATTTTCGTCTTTTTTTTTTTTACGGCATGAATAAATGGCAGTAATCTTTTAGAGAGTAACTTCACTGCCTCTTCTGATTCCTTATTCAACATCTCATTGCTTTCATATATCTAGCAGAGCGTTTCTCGACGCGTCACTAACATGTGGTTTCTATAATGGATTGCAGAGCTTCTCTTCATCAGGTATGTTCTTACTGAAATTAATATTGGGTTTCTTTTGTCTTGCAGGACTCAACACTCTGCCGTTTGATCCAGCAGCCAACAACGACCCTCTCCAGTTCAACGGTTCTAGTGGCCCCCTTGGGCCTGAGTGCTCTCCTTTGGAAAACACTGCTGAAAACGGCAAAAAGAGAAAGAGAGTCAGCCTTCCTCCAGGTACTTAACTCTCCCTCCCCAGTATTCCTCTACAGCCTCAGGATTACAGCAAGATTTTAAATCCTCATCATTTTTTTTTTTCTATGCCATTTCAACTAGGTGTCTAAAAGCTCAACTGAAGAACACCTCTGTTCATTCAAAAGCTTTTTACCACACCTAGATTTCATAGCTCACTATTTTGCTCCTGCTATTCCACTGACATCCAATAACTTTGTGGCATAATCCTATTATTGGGTGGCAGTGTGGACATAAGTGGCTTATTCTTTAGTCTTTGCTGTTTTCCGTTACCTTGCCATGTCCTGAGGCTCTAGTTGTCTGGCCTGTTTAGGGGTCGTGCAGCTGCTGCAGGAAAACTGCTCCTTTGAGATTGTGTGCGAGTGTGCAATATCTGTGTCTGGATGTCTGTTACCGTGACAACACCGCCTGCCAGTCACCGCTCCAGCACGCCTTTGGTTCTCCCACACAAAGCACTTGACTCGTCACCCAGGGAGTGGCACGGCGGAAAGATGTATGTGCCCATGTGTTTCTGTAAGTGCGCTATAATTAAACAGTAATTTGAGTAAGTGGCTGGTCGCTTGGTAATGTGTCAGATTGAAGAAGGACTTTCTAATTAAAGAATTAAAGAAGTTCTGACTAATGAATTGCTTTATAACTAGACAGAAGGAAGCCCCTTAGACAGTGAGGTGTTGTTCCATGTTCTCTGCTTCCTTGGCCATGATAATTGGTCTGCCTTAATAACCTACACTATAAAAAGCCCTTATCAACTTGCAATCTGATTTTTAACATGTTTTTTGGGGAAATGGATCCCGAAAATGGATGCTCAGTGGAACAATGGGTAGCACTGCTGTCTTGCAGAAAGGTGTTCTGGGTTTGATTCCCGCCAGTCTTTCGGCATGGAGTTTGCCACGGTCCAAAAAAATGACTGTTAGGTTAACTTGCTTCTCTAAATTCTCCTTTGGCGTGAGTGTATGAATGGTTGCTTGTCTCTGTGTTGCCCTGAGATGGACTGGCGACCTGTCCAGGGTGTACCCCACCTCTCGCCCATGGACAGCTGGAGATAGGCACCAGCACCCTTAGTGACCCAACTTGGGATAAGCATGAAGGAAAATGGATGGATGGATCCCCACAATTGGTATCTGTCAGCAATATAGTTCATTGTGCCTAATGAACATATTTCATATTTCTTCATGTAAAATCACAAACATCCATGTTTTTTTTAATATTAGAGGTTTATTTCTAATTTAATTTCTTGTGTTAAACATTCTTAGAAAGATAAATGTGTTGAAAATGAATATAGTCCTTTTTTTTCTTAGACTTTTTTCAGACTTTCCCCTGGCTTGTATTTTATATAAAAAGCCAGCTAATGCCCAGTTATGAACATTTTTATAGATCATTGTGAACATTTCCCTTTGTAAAATTCTTAAGCATATTTTCAGGCCCCCACATGCTGTGCTTTGTATTATCACTAATGTTGCAACTGCAGGTGTTTTGGAATATGTCTCCATGAGTTTTACACATCTAGAGACAGATCTTTTTACAAGTTTTTTCTTTTTAAAAGTGCTCAATCCCCCTCAGATTGGGTCTGGTTTTTGGGGGCCATTGTCCTGCTGCAAGCTGAACATCTGACCTGGTCTCAAGTCGTTTGCAGTCTCAAACAGGTTTTATTCCAGGACTTTAAGGCTCAATTTCCATCCACTTTCTGTTCCCACTTAAGAAGAGGATGGTGTAAAAACAATGGTGCTTTCAGAGAATTGCTTTCCTTTACATATTTTTTTAACTTAGACCAGAATGTCCCCTAGCAGGATTTGCAGAAGCTTTCCTTAAGCAGACGCTTTCTTGCTGCCACAGTTTAAAAAAAAAAAAAGGCCAACAGATTGCCTGACTAGAACTAAGGATCTCTGAAGCTCCTCCAAAGTTCCCATGGTGGTTCTTGGCTGCTTCTCTAGTTAATGCCCTCCTTGCTTGGCCTCTCAGTTTTCATAGTTTAAACATTGCTTTCTAACTGATCCAAGCTTTAACTTTTTCCAGACTTTTTTTCATGTGTTATCTGCTGTATAATGGTGCATTCAAACCAAACGTGTTTCCAGCAACCAGAGCAATCGACTTACATTTTATCCCTATGTAGGGGCGTGTTTAGGAGAGCCTTGTTGCAGCAACCAATAAGGAATCGAAGGTGGCTGTGATAAGGACAAAGATTTTTTAAAATAAAAATTGAAGAAGGAAAAAATATTGTTGTCCTAGAAGGACGGTTAAATCAGTCATCGTTCATCCTCCTGCCTCAGCTCCAGAGCAGATCGCAGCCACTAAGAACCCCAGCCATCTCTGCCGGGTTCCTGCTCTGATCTCCTTCTCTTTGTGACTGAGCTCCAAAATGCTGCTTAACTTTACTTCTGTTGTTCAGGTGATCCTACACCAAAGAAGGATAATTTTGCGTCCTGCTCAGATGTAAGGCCCATGGAAAGTAACTGTGATCCAGTTTGATTGTGGACTCCCTGAACTGGGAGCATCTCTAGTGGATTCAGGGAACCTTGCGCAACTGTTTGGGCTCTCCATAGTAAGTAAAGCACCCTGAACGGCTTGATAAAATCCAGGTCCGCCATGCTGAGATGAAATCAGCAATGAGCAAATAGGAGCTCCCTTTGTTTGATGACGGGGTGAAGAGATGGGAGTGATTGTCTCCCGCCATACAATTTGATGGTAATATGTCAGGCGAGCGACAGCACCACCTAAAGTGGCGACTTTGTCACAGGAATCGCATTCGGTGTGAAAGCACCATCAGAATGGAAAATAAATTATACTCACCTAGAGTGGAAGTCTTGCACACTGACTTGGCACAGTTTTAACACCCTATACCCCTCCTGACGCAACAAGGATTCAATGTTATTCCCGCATGAATAACACAGATCTAATGCAAAACCCCAGAGAGGGACACGATTAGATTCTAACATAACAGTGTGGTTGTTTTTAACAGCCAGTGGCTGCGTTTGATAAGAAATACAATAGAAGTGATTGAATACTTAAAGGTACTTTAAGTTTCCTCTAGTAATAAATGTGATGCAGCTGGATTTTTATTAGTTTCTTATTTATTTTCCTGAAAAATGGTGCTAAGACTTATGCAAAACCTTCTATTAACATATTCACCAAGGTTAATGGGAAATATAAATATCTGCTGTGTTAGATTAAAAAAAGTATCATTGTTATCGGTATAAATGAATTCTGTAAAGAGACGGATCAGTTTAAGTGTGGGAAATTATGGCCTTCTTTCTATGCTGTAATATAAACATGAGCGATTGCCCTCTGCAGCTCTGACAGCCTACTGTCACATCATTAGTGTGTCTCTAAATGGCTCTGTCAGTGCAGGACTTTTTCTGCAACTGAAACTAAGAATATTATTTTCTTCTATGATATTGCAGCTTGTGATGAGGGAGAGAATATTTGAAACCCTGAAAAACCTGTGAATCGGTCTGTAGAGCACCTTTACACCTTTACTGTATATCAAAGATTAAAGAAAGGAGCATGCATTTAATCAACTAAACATACCACTGCCCTTCAGAAATCATAATTGTATTGTTGATTACTACTATTGTCTTGAAATTCTTTCTTCTAAGATTGATGGATGCATGGATGGATGGATTAGCCTGATAAACCAGACTAAATGTGAGATGAAATGTGTAATTTAGTCTGGCCCCGATGAATGAGACGTCGGAAGATTGTTGATGAGAACAACCCGTTGTTTTTCAAACCATGTCTGTGCCTATTGGCCAATAAGCGCAACTGACTGTGACGTAGTAAGCGCGACAGAAAGCTGGTGGGGGAGTGTAAACAAACAGCGAATACGATTTTCTTAAAAATACATTTGCGTAGAGCCTCTTCCTGCTCACGTTTCAACGAAAACCCCAGGACTAATCCTTCCGAAACTGATTCCAAAGCTGAGTCAAACGAGAACTGTTCAATAGTTGTTGCCGTCTTCCTTGTTGTGTTTTCTCCAGCGTCACGCGGCTTTGTCGTCCCGCCCTCAAAACCCCGCCCACTTTGCATCCAGATTTAAAACACATCTCTGCGATGTGATTGGTCAGCCAGTTCTAGGGCCTGGGGTATTGTTCGAGGCTAGACCGCTCGCAGGAAAAAATGATGGGACTAGTTTACTGGGCTACCATTAAATGCCTTCACATTAGTGTCCCCAGCTTAAAAGTTGTGTTTCTTCAGATTCTTCCATCTGACAGTCAAATTTCTGTAATATCCTCCAGCTGGAGAAATTGGAAGTCTTTTTTTTCTCTCTCCTTTCTTTAGCAGCCAGCCAGGTCTAGGGGCTGGGGCATTGATCAAGGCTAGACCAAACTTGGATGGATGGATGGACGCATTTTGTATTTACAGATTGCTGTAGGAATAAGTGGAGTGAAGGTTTTGAAGGCAAAGACTGTTTTCAGTTCCAGGTGATTGGCTAGTTTACTAGAACATTGCTCAGTTGCATTCACATTAATCAAAGCTGTAATTTTCTCTTTCACAGTGAAGATGCAGGGGTCATTTGGGCAACTCACCAATCTTTGCTGAGTTTGTGTTGGAGAGCAATTTATTTTGCTATTAATTTCCTTATTTTGATGTTGTTATCAGGTTAAAAGCGGTCTACCCAGAGGCTTCTCACCTTGTTTCATTTTATTTATGTTGAAAGTCCTCTTTTATATGTCTGCTTAAATGCTGTAGCTTACAGAGTGCGTAGCTTCATGTGCTCCACATTCCACAGCGTTTATATCTGCAGTAAAAAAAAAAGCAGGTTTGATTACAAATTTCTTTGACTTGACCTGTCATAATCAGAGGTTCTGTCTGTAAGCTGCTGCTGCTTCCTTTGAAGAATTACAAGGTTAGGTGAGGTCTAAAGCAAATCAATCTGAGGACTTTATTGTCTTATAATTTCAGATTCTGTCGAGCTCCTGATTGCCTTAAGTCTCGCTCAGGTGCTTCAGCCTCTCAGTGAAGCACTGATTCATTAGCAGCCCAATAGA